AGGGAAGAATGGAGGAAGAAACACAGAAGGAATATAGCAGATGGAGTGGAGTAAATAAGGCATGGAGCAGGGGCTAACAACTGGAGGTAATGGAACAAGACAATGAAATAACTGAGGAAGAAATAACAACATGGAGGGAGAACAAGGAGGAAGCCAGAGGATGGGAATGATACAATAAATGGAATGAAGCCAATGTAGAATGGCCAATAAAGGAATGGAAGCAGACAGGCTAACACAGGAGGCCAACGGGAGTGGAAGAATACATAATGGAGGAACATGAACAGTAGATGAAAGGTACAAGGATGAGGTGGAGGGACAACAATGGAGGAAGGGTAGGTAGAACACAAGGAATCAACTGAGAAGAAAGAACAAATGGAGGCACACAACAAGGAATGAGACCAACAAATGAAGGCAATCACAGACACGATACACACAACGGAGGAAAGACATGGAGGAAGCACACATAGCACATGGGATGACACACACACACAGGAGGAATGGACAACACAACAACAATGGAGGACACACACACAACGGAGACAGACATAGACAAGATGGCCAACAAAGGAGGAGGCAGACACAAGGACCAGGAACAACACAATGGATGAGACACACACAATCGACAACAACGGAGGAAGGAACCCACAGAGGAATGACAGATGGAATGACACAACAACAATGGAGGAAGGAGGACGAAGGAGGACACACACACACACAATGGAGGAAGCACATGGAGGACAGATGGCACACACAGAACAGATGGAGGTGAGAATCACAGGAATGGACACGACACAACAATGGAGGAAGCAACACATGGAGTGGACACACAACAGAATGACACACACAGACAGACACACAACACAAGGAACACACAAAATGATACAACAACATGGACACACAAGGACACACATACAATGGACACACACACAACCACACAAGACACACAGACACACACACACAATGGAAGGACACACACACACGACAACACACACACACAGACAGTGACACACACACAACGGAGGAACCACACACACACAGACACATGGACAAGAACACACACACAGGAGACACACACACACACAAGGACACAACACACACACACACACACAACACAACAACACACAGGACACACACAGGAGGACACACAGACACACACACACACAGACAATGGAGACACACAGGACACAAGGACACACACACACACACAACAACAGGACAAAGACACACACACACACACACACACAGGACACACACATGACACACACACACACACACACACAGACACACACAACACACACACACACACACACACACACACAATGGACACACACACAGACAATGGAGGAATGACACACACAATGGAGGAACACACACAACACAGACAGAACACACACAGACACACACACACACACCGACACACAGGAACAGACAGGAGACACACAGACAATGGAGGAACACACAGGAACACACACAACAACACGCACAACAACACACAAGGACACAGATCACACACACACACAGGACAACACAGGAGGAGGAACACACACAGGATGGTAAGACACAATGCCAGAGGAGGACACACACATGGAGGAGGAACAGACACACAGACAATGACACACAGGAAATGGAGGAAGCCACAAGGAGGAGGAACACAGAGCACATGGTACACACACAACAATGGAGGAACACAACAAAGGAGGTGAACACACAGAATATGGAATGGACAACAACAATGGAGGAACTGAACAAGGAATACATAGCAGAAATGAGATGGACACATAACAATGGATGAACACAATCACTGGAGGAGGTGAACAAATGGAACACACAGCAGATGGGGTAATAATAACATAATGGAGGAAATAACAAAGAAGGAGGCAGATGTAATGAATAAAAGCAGATGGAAAGGAAAAGGATAAAAGAAGGACAATAACAAGTGGAGGAAGCCATTGAAGGAGGAAAAGGAGCAGAGTGGATAATGACATAATAACAATGGAAGGAAATGAACAAAGGAGGTAGAAGAACAAGGCATATGGAGTAGATAATGAATAACAATGGAGGAGGAAAGAAAGGAAGAATGTAGAACAAGGAATAAATAGAAGGTAATAATAAATAGGAGGAAGGAATAACAATGGAGGGGACTAAATGGAAAGAATATAGTAGATGGAATGGTAATGAATAACAAGGAGGAAAGGAAATGGAGAATAGTAGGAATACACAATGGAGAGAATAATGGAATGGAAATGGAATGGAAGGAACATGGACAATAATAATAAATAACAGAAGAGGTAGAAGCCTACAATAAGAGATGGGAAAATACATAATGAAGGCTGGAACAAGGTATAAATGGTGGAATGGATAAATATAATAGATGTAATGGACAATAACAGGAAGGTAAGAACACAGGTGGAAGAAGATGGAATAATAATAAATGGATGAGGAAGCGGAGGGAGGTGGTGAATGAAAAATATAATGGGAGGATATATAGAATGGACAATATAATGGAAGGAAGCTGAATGTAGAGGGCAGTAAGAATGGAAGAATGGAAGAATGGATGGGGTAGGAATATAGAATGGAATAACAATGGAGGAAGGACACAGGGAGGGAGAACATGGTATGGACAAAAATGGAATAATGACAACAAGGAGGGAAGGAAGGAAGGAATGAAGGGATACAACAATAGGTAGATGGTGGAATGGATAATTGACAATGGAGGAATGGAATGAGACACAACCCATACACAGCAGAGTGGGCAACGAGACATAACCAACAATGAGGAGGCAGGCCAAGGACACACAAGGAGGACCGAAGGACACACATAGCAGAGTGGGCAAACGACAACAATAATGGAGGACACGACACACACAGCAGATGTAATGACAACACACAGATGGCACACACAACAATGGAGGAACAACAGAACACACACAGAGACCCAGCATGGACGACACACACAACTGGAGGACAGACAGAACTACACACAGGACACACAACACATGGAGGAAGGACAGTAATGAATAATGGACAGAAGATAGGGACATATAAGAAGACACAATCATGGAGGGAGGACAGAACAACGGATAATAAGCACAAGACAGATGTGACACACACACAATAATGGAGGAAGAAACAGTGGAGGAGGACAACACACACACAATGGAGAACACACACACACACAACGTGGAGGAAGAACATGGAAGGCAAAGGAGACACAAGACAAGGAACACACACACAATGGAGTGGACACAAAGGAGGCAGAATCACAGAGGACACACAGAGGTGACACACGACACAACAACGGAGGAAGCCACACAGGAGGAGGCAGAACACAGGACAGACACAGAACGGAGGACACAATGACACACAACACAGTGAGCCAGGAACACGGACACAGAACACACACAGTAGACACACACACACAGCAGGACACACACACACACAGGAAAGAGAACAACACATGGACAATGGAACACACAATGGAGGAACACACACTGAACACACGGAGGAACACAGAATGACACAACAACGACACAGGAGGAAGCCACACACAGGCACAATGGCACAAACACACAGGACACACACACACACACATGGAGGACACACACACACAACGATGGACAACAACAGGAGGACACACACATAGGAGGACACAGAATGAAGGTATACACATGGAGGCAGAATCACAAGGAAGGAGGAACGGAGGCAGAACACATAGTGAAGGATGACACACAACAACAGAATGAAGCCACAACACGACAGATACACGAGCACAGACAACACAACAATGAAGCCAACAAGAGTGGAGGCACACACAAGGTACACACAGTGGAGGCAGTAACACAGAATGACAACAACACACAAAGGAATGACACACAAGGTATACATAGAAGAACGATACAATAACAATGGAGGACACATGGCAAACAAGGTATGCAGAAGATGACACACAACAACGGAGGAAACACATGGATGGTAATGATACACAACAATGGAGGAAGCCAAGGAGGTGAACAACAATGAAGGAATGACAGACCACAGCACGACACAGACAAGGAGACACAAGGTATCACAACACATGGACACACACACACAGAGGAGACACAACAATCACAGACACACAGAACACAATGTAACAATATAATGGAAAGAAGCCAACACATGGAACACACAGCAGACACAGAATGGACACAGTGAGACAATCAACAAACAGGAGGCACGACACACAGAAAGACATCACACAGGAGGAACAAGGAACACAAGGACACACACAACAAACACACACAGAACACACAGAATGACACACAACAATGGAGGAACACACAGAGGTAATGACACAACAACGGAGGGAAGCACACACAGGGACACACACACACAAAAGATGGAGGACACAGCAACACACACAAGGAGGAAGCCACACACACTGGTAGGAGGCACACACACAACACACAGACACAATGACACAACAACAGACACACAGATGGACACACACACAACGAAGGCAGATGGACACACACAGAACAATAACAGCACGCCAAGGAGGAGGACAATGGAGGAACAACAAGGCAGAACAGAAGACAGACACAATATAATGGAAAGAAATAACACAGAACATGGTATAGACAGCCACACAGGAGGAATAGATAACGAAGACACAGGAAGCCAACGGAAGTGAGGAAGCCAGAGGTACACATGGCAAACATAATGATAACAATCATGGAGTGGCACAAACAGTGGAGGCAGAACAAGGTATACATAGCATATGGGGAAATGATACAATGTATTGGAAAGAAGCCACTTTGAAGAGGCAGAACAAGGTATACATATAGATAGGGTGGTAATGATACAATAACAATCGGAGGAAGCCAATATTGAGGAGGCAGAAGAAGGTATACATAGCAGATGGGGTAGGATTTACGATACAATATAATGGAGGGAAGCCAATGTTGAGGGGAGGCAGAACAAGGTATACATAGCAGATGGATAGGAATAATGCAATAACAATGGAGGAGGCCAATGTTGGAGGAAACCGAACGAAGGTATACATAGCAGAGATGTGGTAATGGATGCAATAACAATGGAAGGAAGCCAATGTTGAGGAGGCAGAACAAGGTATACATAGCAGATGGGGTAATGATACAATAACAATGGGAGAAAGCCAATATTGAGGAGGCAGAACAAGGTATACATAGCAGATGGGTAATGATAAATATAATGGAAAGAAACCAATGTTGGGAGGCAGAACAAGGTATACATAGCAGATTGGGTAATGATACAATAACAAATGGGGAGGGGAGGCCAATATCGAGGAGGCAGAACAAGGTATACATAGCAGATGGGGTAGGTAATGATACAATAACAATGGGGAGGAAGCCAAATATTGAGGGGTCAGAACAAGGTATACATAGCAGATGGGGTAGGTAATGATACAATAACAATGGGAGGAAGCCAAAATTGAGGAGGCATAACAAGGTATACATAGCTGATGGGATCATTATACAATATAATGGAGTGAAGCCAAGGTTGAGGAAGCGAACAAGGTATACGCGGGCAGATGGGATTAATTGGCAATGATGGCTGGAGTGCTCTGTTCTGTTGTTTTTATCAGTTCATTGTATCCAGATGGAATGAGCTATCCTTGGTCTCTGTTTATCCATAAAGTATTATACTTTTCTATTATCCATCAACTTCTAAAATGCTAATCAAACAGATTATCGGAAGAAGACATTTGTGATGTTTGTAACAACAAAATAAGGGCTGCATGGAGGATTTTCAGGCTGACCGTGTTTGGAGAACAACAATGGGCATAATCTGTGATGATAAGCATGGGGTAGCACTAAAGGAGGAGTCTCCGTCCAGCACTGTGCTGGACCAGGCGGATTTCATTCAGTTTCTGTTCTGACCTCTCAGAAAAAACAACATCACAAACACATTTGATGAGCCTTGGATATGACATTCTTAAGATGTCCATGCCATCCTTCCAGATGGTTGTTCGTCCGTAATGGGTTGTTTAATAGTGGTTCCATGAGTATTTTGTTAGGTAGTTCAGAATTTAGTATAACCCAGAAAGTTAATCCCTTAGAACAACATGCACAGTCAGCACCCCAACATCAAAGGATTTTTACTGTAACAACAATTGTCTACTTCCTGGTAAGACACCACTGCCATCTACTCAGAAAGCAATGAACCACTTCAGATTCACTTGCTTGATCCCATCAAACCTGTGGTCTCTGAAAGACATACTTTATGTTTAGTTAGTAATGGGATTCACCACACAGGTTCTGTGTTTAGTTAATGAGGGCATGTCCACATAAATTTTATGTTTATTTAGCAGTTGGACTCACATAGGCTCTATGTTGAGTTATAAGTCAGACTTCTGAAATAGGATCTGTGTTGAGTGAGTAAGTGAAGAGACTTGTGACATGGGTTCAATGTTTTATGTTGAGTTAGTTGTTGAATTACCCTTGGATTGGGGAGACAATCATGTCAAACAGACCATGTGGGACTGGACGATACAAGGTAGCCTAAGATTTAACATATCCCGGGTAGCTTGTGAGCATGAGGTGGACTTAAACCTACTGAAAACTATTCCTCATCATGTGGTGTGCCTCCATAGTACAGCCATGTTTACTTGGTTATTCCAGTACAATGACAATGGAGGAACTGTTGGAATCCTTGACCAAGAAGGCTAAGCTAGAGAGTGAAGAGGCTCACAGACAGTTTATTGCTGCCTTAAATGGACTGGCAGCTTTATGCATCATAAATGAGGAGGTATGAGCACTTGCCCCATCACTCATTTACCTTGTGTCTAGAGGTGAATGTTCTCTACACTTATACCATTTAACATCCTTCAGTTACAGAAGGAATACTATTAGTAATATGAATATAATGTGAGTTCAGAAGGTTATTATACACCCTTAATCATGTAAGAATCTATCAAGATGAGTAATATCAGCAAGGACAATACATCAAGGGAGTGGAAGGTCTTCACTCATCTTGCATAGGGATATGTAGCTTGGCCAAGCGATGTCACTCCTGTGACCTGCTGGATGATGATCACCTTGCGGTCTACAGGAGGGTTTGTTCTCGTCTGACCAGAGACAGATACTAAAAGGTGCACTTGGACAAATTCAGCCAATTCTCAAGCAAGAATTCTAAAAAAGGCTTGTTGATCCAAATCCCCATGAACAAGGCATTTCCAGACACTTCTTTGAATTATTTTCTCAGTGAATACCTGTGTCATTTCTTAGGGCGGTCAAAACATTGTTTGAACCTCAGACTCTTGTCTCATGTGGTGGTGGTGAGGGATTTGGCAAACTCTCCTGTTTCATTGGTCCTTTACAATGGTTTGTCGGTCCTTTCAGAAGGATTGTTGATCCCTCCACCAGCTTTACCATTCCTTCCTCTAGATCCACCCTTCCCTTCAGCAAGTTTATTGGTCTGTCCTCCTTCAGCAGTGCTTGCATGGGTTCCATGACCACCACTGATTCAAACGTATCTACCCTTCACTGCGACAGTACTTACGTTGACATCTGATAAACCAACTCTTATTGTTTGAGGCTTCAACTATAATCCAAGTAAAGCAGTGGCCATCTTTCTGAAAATACAATTGTCAACCAAACCACTCATTGCCAAGTAAGAATCTAGGGCCTATTAATAGCACATATTGAAATGAATTCAAATCTTCCAGAAAATTGCCTTCTAGTCCTAAAATTTGATAGTCATTGACACATCAATGACAATCTTTTCTTTGAAAACAGCCAGACAGCTGTTACTTGATTGCTGTATTTGATGTATTACAGTACAGTGAAGCAGTGTCAAACTACCGCTGTGTGCTCCAGTCAGTCACAGAGCATGAAGGTCGCCTGAAGACGGATGATTTGCAGCAGCTTCATGCTCTCCACAACCTCCATGAAATCCTCCTGATAAAGCCCGCCAATGTACACCCTACGCTCAGGGACCATCAACTCCAGGAACAGGTGAGTCCTTCCAAACAAAGCACTATATTTTCAAGAACATTCATTAATAAGTATGACTATTTGCATCAGTTATTTTTAGTGTTACTGAGGTGGCTCAGTCTTCCAAGGCATTCTTCTTCACTGCTCAGAGTTGCATCTGTTGGGCCCACAAGAAACTTCTGTGTCACTGGTCAGCATCCTTCCAGTGTTTGTAGGTTATACGAAAGTGGTAACCGTCTGATACTCTGCTTCACTTGTTACTGTTCTCTGACATGAGTGAGTGAGTTGGGTATTACACCACTTTTAGCAATATTCCAGCAATATTCGTCAGGGGACACCAGAAACAGGCTTCACACATTGTACCCATGTGGGGAATCGAACGTGGGTCTTCGGGTGTGACGAGCCAATGCTTCACCCACAAGGCTACCCCACTGCTCCCCTCCGACATGAGGCTGACACACTTGTGTGACTGGAATTTTGTTCAAAGCAGTTTTAAGATCAACTGACTTACTCTTTCTCTCAAGTATTACTTTTAGTGTTTGAATATGGCTTCCATGATGACAAGAAATCAAAGGGATAAGTTGGAGCTGGAACTGAATGGCTTCTCACCATGTTTACCAAAACAATCATATACATTGTGTAAATTGAACTGAACTTGTACATAAATTTTATTTCTATTTATCAATTTTCAAACAATTAACAAAATGTTTTGGCAACATAAATAATGGTAATGGTAATAAACGTTGAGTATCAACTTTTAAATGCCTCGCAAGAACCTCAGCATAAACAGGGCTCAGGTAATATTTGTTCTCATCTATCAGGCCAATGATCTGCGTACAAAGTACATGCTGAAAGCTGAAAACAAGGTAGCATCTGCACAGGATTCACTTGGACCAGCACAGTGCAGTGTGAAGGACACCAGTGATGAGGTCAGTTGATTGGGGTTGGACACCAGTGATTGGGCCCTTGGTTAGGTTGGGGCAGCAGTGTTGAACTAATTGATTTGGGGTGGACACCAGTGATGAGGTCAGTTGGTTGGGATGGGGCAACAGTGGTTGGGTGGGACAACAGTGATGAGGTCAGTTGGTTGGGGTGGGACAACAGTGATAGGTCAGTTGGTTAGGTGGGGCAACAGTGATGAGGTCAGTTGGTTAGGGTGGGGCAACAGTGATGAGGTCAGTTGGTTAGGGTGGGGCAACAGTGATGAGGTCAGTTGGTTAGGTGGGATGAGCAGTGATGAGGTCAGTTGGTTGGGGTGGGGCAACAGTGATAAGGTCAGTTGGTTAGGGTGGGGCAACAGTGATGAGGTCAGTTGGTTAGGGTGGGGCAACAGTGATGAGGTCAGTTGGTTAGGGTGGGGCAAGAGTGATGAGGTCAGTTTGTTAGGGTGAGGCAACAGAGATGAGGTCAGATGCTTGGGATGGGACAACAGTGATGAGGTCAGATGGTTAGGGTGGGGCAACAGAGATGAGGTAAGTTGGTTGGGGTGGGGCATCAGTGATGAGGTCAGTTGTTTGGGGTGGGGCAACAGTGATGAGGTCAGTTGGTTGGGGTGGGGCAAGAGTGATGAGGTCAGTTGGTTAGGGTGGGGCAAGAGTGATGAGGTCAGTTGGTTGGGGTGGGACAACACTGGTGAGGTTTGGAAATTGGTAACAGTGATGAGGTCAGTTGGTTAGGGTGGGAAATAGTGGGGAACATATGGCAGGAAGGAAAACTAACTTTTTACTGTTTAATTTCTGAATTCTTCTTATATATGCTTAAAGTTCTGTTACCACTCATGCATGTTTTAGTGGGGGTTAATTTTTTGGTAAAAGTCTGCAACTGTTGGTGTGTGTTTCAGTGTGTGTTTGGTGCCTAACTGAGGTCTGCAACTGTTGATGTGTGTTTCAGTGTGCGTTTGAGGCCTAGCAGAAGTCTGCAACTGTTGATGTGTGTTTCAGTGTGCGTTTGAGGCCTAGCAGAAGTCTGCAACTGATGATGTGTGTGTCAGTGTGTATTTGAGGCCTGGCAGAAGTCTGCAAGTGTTGATGTGTGTTTCAGTGTGAGTTTTGGGCCTGGCAGAAGTCTGCAACTGTTGATGTGTGTTTCAGTGTGGGTTTTGGGCCTAGCAGAAGTCTGCAACTGTTAATGTGTGTTTCGGTGTATGTTTGAGGCCTGGCAGAAGTCTGCAACTTTTGATGTGTGTTTCAGTGTGTGTTTGGGGCCTAACTGAACTATGCAACTGTTGATGTGTGTTTCAGTGTGGGTTTGGGGCCTGGCAGAAGTCTGCAACTGTTGCTGTGTGTTTCAGTGTATGTTTGAGGCCTCACAGAGGTCTGCAACTGTTGATGTGTGTTTCAGTGTGTGTTTCAGTGTGGGTTTGGGGCCTAGGAGAAGTCTGCAACTGTTGATGTGTGTTTCAGTGTGTGTTTGGGGCCTGGCAGAAGTCTGCACCTGTTGATGTGTGTTTCAGTGTGTTTTTGAGGCCTAGCAGAAGTCTGCAACTGTTGATGTGTGGTTTTTTTCTGTGTGTATTTGAGGGCTAACATAAGTCTTCAACTGTTGATGTGTGTTTCAGTGTGTTTTCCTAGCCTGCCGGGAAGTCTGCAACTGTTGATGTGTGTTTCAGTGTGTGTTTGGGGCCTGGCAGAAGTCTGCACCTGTTGATGTGTGTTTCAGTGTGTTTTTGAGGCCTAGCAGAAGTCTGCAACTGTTGATGTGTGGTTTTTTTCTGTGTGTATTTGAGGGCTAACATAAGTCTTCAACTGTTGATGTGTGTTTCAGTGTGTTTTCCTAGCCTGCCGGGAAGTCTGCAACTGTTGATGTGTGTTTCAGTGTGTGTTTGGGGCCTAGCAGAAGTCTGCAACTGTTGATGTGTGTTTCAGTGTGTGTTTGGGGCCTAGCAGAAGTCTGCAACTGTTGATGTGTGTTTCAGTGTGTGTATGGGGCCTGGCAGAAGTCTGCAACTGTTGATGTGTGTTTCAGTGTGTTTTTGAGGCCTAGCAGAAGTCTGCAACTGTTGATGTGTGTTTTTTTTCTGTGTGTATTTGAGGGCTAACATAAGTCTTCAACTGTTGATGTGTGTGTCAGTGTGTTTTTGAGGCCTAGCAGAAATCTGCAACTGTTGATGTGTGTTTTTTTTCTGTGTGTATTTGAGGGCTAACATAAGTCTTCAACTGTTGATGTGTGTTTCACTGTGTGTTTGAGGCCTGGCAGAAGTCTGCAACTGTTGATATGTGTTTCAGTGTGTGTTTGGTGCCTAACTGAGGTCTGCAACTGTTGATGTGTGTTTCAGTGTGTGTTTGGGGCCTTGCTGAATTCTGCAACTGTTGATGTGTGTTTCAGTGTGGATTTGGTGCCTAGCATAAGTCTGCAACTTTTGATGTGTGTTTCACTGTGTGTTTGGTGCTTGGCAGAAGTCTGCAACTGTTGATGTGTGTTTCATTGTGTGTTTGAGGCCTAGCAGAAGTCTGCAACTGTTGATGTGTGTTTCAGTGAGGGTTTTGGGCCTAACTGAAGTCTGCAACTGTTGATGTGTGTTTCAGTGTATGTTTGGTGCCTAGCAGAAGTCTGCAACTGTTGATTTGTGTTTCAGTGTGGGTTTGGGGCCTAGGATAAGTCTGCAACTGTTGATGTGTGTTTCACTGTGTGTTTGGTGCTTGTCAGAAGTCTGCAACTGTTGATGTGTGTTTTAGTGTGTGTTTGAGGCCTAGCAGAAGTCTGCAACTGTTGATGTGTGTTTCAGTGTGGGTTTTGGCCTGGCAGAAGTCTGCAACTTTTGATGTGTGTGTCAGTGTGTTTTTGAGGCCTAACATAAGTCTGCAACTGTTGATGTGTGTTTCAGTGTGGGTTTTGGCCTGGCAGAAGTCTGCAACTTTTGATGTGTGTGTCAGTGTGTTTTTGAGGCCTAGCAGAAGTCTGCAACTGTTGATGTGTTTCAGTATGTATTTGAAGCCTAACATAAGTGTTCAACTGTTGATGTGTGTTTCAGTGAGGGTTTGAGGCCTAGCAGAAATCTGCAACTGTTGATGTGTGTTTGGGGCCTAGGATAAGTTTGCAACTGTTGATTGGTGTTTCACTGTGTGTTTGGTGCTTGGCAGAAGTCTGCAACTGTTGATGTGTGTTTTAGTGTGTGTTTGAGGCCTAGCATAAGTCTGCAACTGTTGATGTGTGTTTCAGTGTGGTTTTGGCCTGGCAGAAGTCTGCAACTTTTGATGTGTGTGTCAGTGTGTTTTGAGGCCTAGCAGAAATCTGCAACTGTTGATGTGTGTTTTTTCTGTGTGTATTTGAGGGCTAACATAAGTCTTCAACTGTTGATGTGTGTTTCACTGTGTGTTTGAGGCCTGGCAGAAGTCTGCAACTGTTGATATGTGTTTCAGTGTGTGTTTGGTGCCTAACTGAGGTCTGCAACTGTTGATGTGTGTTTCAGTGTGTGTTTGGGGCCTTGCTGAATTCTGCAACTGTTGATGTGTGTTTCAGTGTGGATTTGGGGCCTAGCATAAGTCTGCAACTGTTGATGTGTGTTTCACTGTGTGTTTGGTGCTTGGCAGAAGTCTGCAACTGTTGATGTGTGTTTCATTGTGTGTTTGAGGCCTAGCAGAAGTCTGCAACTGTTGATGTGTGTTTCAGTGAGGGTTTTGGGCCTAACTGAAGTCTGCAACTGTTGATGTGTGTTTCAGTGTATGTTTGGTGCCTAGCAGAAGTCTGCAACTGTTGATTTGTGTTTCAGTGTGGGTTTGGGGCCTAGGATAAGTCTGCAACTGTTGATGTGTGTTTCACTGTGTGTTTGGTGCTTGTCAGAAGTCTGCAACTGTTGATGTGTGTTTTAGTGTGTGTTTGAGGCCTAGCAGAAGTCTGCAACTGTTGATGTGTGTTTCACTGTGTGTTTGAGGCCTGGCAGAAGTCTGCAACTGTTGATATGTGTTTCAGTGTGTGTTTGGTGCCTAACTGAGGTCTGCAACTGTTGATGTGTGTTTCAGTGTGTGTTTGGGGCCTTGCTGAATTCTGCAACTGTTGATGTGTGTTTCAGTGTGGATTTGGTGCCTAGCATAAGTCTGCAACTTTTGATGTGTGTTTCACTGTGTGTTTGGTGCTTGGCAGAAGTCTGCAACTGTTGATGTGTGTTTCATTGTGTGTTTGAGGCCTAGCAGAAGTCTGCAACTGTTGATGTGTGTTTCAGTGAGGGTTTTGGGCCTAACTGAAGTCTGCAACTGTTGATGTGTGTTTCAGTGTATGTTTGGTGCCTAGCAGAAGTCTGCAACTGTTGATTTGTGTTTCAGTGTGGGTTTGGGGCCTAGGATAAGTCTGCAACTGTTGATGTGTGTTTCACTGTGTGTTTGGTGCTTGTCAGAAGTCTGCAACTGTTGATGTGTGTTTTAGTGTGTGTTTGAGGCCTAGCAGAAGTCTGCAACTGTTGATGTGTGTTTCAGTGTGGGTTTTGGCCTGGCAGAAGTCTGCAACTTTTGATGTGTGTGTCAGTGTGTTTTTGAGGCCTAACATAAGTCTGCAACTGTTGATGTGTGTTTCAGTGTGGGTTTTGGCCTGGCAGAAGTCTGCAACTTTTGATGTGTGTGTCAGTGTGTTTTTGAGGCCTAGCAGAAGTCTGCAACTGTTGATGTGTTTCAGTATGTATTTGAAGCCTAACATAAGTGTTCAACTGTTGATGTGTGTTTCAGTGAGGGTTTGAGGCCTAGCAGAAATCTGCAACTGTTGATGTGTGTTTGGGGCCTAGGATAAGTTTGCAACTGTTGATTGGTGTTTCACTGTGTGTTTGGTGCTTGGCAGAAGTCTGCAACTGTTGATGTGTGTTTTAGTGTGTGTTTGAGGCCTAGCATAAGTCTGCAACTGTTGATGTGTGTTTCAGTGTGTATTTGAAGCCTAACATAAGTCTGCAACTGTTGATGTGTGTTTCAGTGTGTGTTTGAGGCCTAGCAGAAGTCTGCAACTGTTG